GCCCTGCATCCTGATACACAGCCCTGGACCCTGATACACAGCCCTGCGTCCTGATGCACAGACCCGAGCCCTGAACCCCGAGCCCCGATACACAGCCCTGAACCCCGATACACAGCCCCAAACCCCGAGCCCCGATACACAGTCCCAAACCCCGATACACAGCCCCGCATCCTGATGCACAGCCCTGAGCCCTGATGCACAGCCCCGAGCCCCGATACCCAATACACAGCTCTGATACACAGCCCCAAACCCCGATACACAGCCTCACATCCTGATGCAGAGCCCCAAGCCCCAATACACAGCCCCAAGCCCCAATACCCAATACACAGCCCCAATACACAGTCCCGAGCCCCAATACACAGCCCCGAGCCCCGATACACAGCCCTGCATCCTGATGCACAGCCCTGAGCCTCGATACACAGCCCCGAGCCCTGAGCCCTGATACACAGCCCCGAGCCCCGATACACAGCCCTGCATCCTGATCCACAGCCCCGAGCCTCGATACACAGCCCCGAGCCCTGATACAGAGCCCCAAGCCCTGATACACAGCCCCGATCCCCGATACACAGCCCCAAGCCCCGATACACTGCCCCGAACCCTGATACACAGCCCCGATCCCCGTTACACAGCCCCGAACCCCGATACACAGCCCCAATCCCCGTTATACAGCCCTGAGCCCCGTTACACAGCCCCAAACCCCGATACACAGCCCCGATCCCCATTATACAGCCCTGAGCCCCGTTACACAGCCCCGAACCCTGATACACAACCCCGATCCCCATTATCAGCCCCGAACCCCGATACACAGCCCCGAAGCCCGATACACAGCCCCGAAGCCCGATACACAGCCCCGAGCCCCGATACACAGCCCCGAACCCCGATACACAACCCCGATCCCCATTATCAGCCCCGAACCCCGATACACAGCCCCGAGCCCCGTTATACAGCCCCGAACCCCGTTACACAGCCCCGAACCCCGATACACAGCCCCGATCCCCATTATCAGCCCCGAACCCCGATACACAGCCCCGATCCCCATTATCAGCCCCGAACCCCGATACACAGTCCCGAGCCCCGATGCCTGTTGATGGGAGATTGTGTTTATTGCCTGGCGCTGCCCTCTGCTGGTGTTTGCCACAGGATTACACGGAGCTGGACAAATCCACTCAGTTCTCCGTGAAATCGCAACAGGGTCCACTCATTGTCCTCCAGGCCCTGCCCCGTCTACAATTAGACTCACAGTCAGAGGGTTGGTGAGCAGGTCCCATGCCCGAATGTTGGGCTGGGAGCTCAGGGTGGGTCAGGTGTGAGTGTTGACTCTGGGATGGTCAGCAGGTTGCTGTGGTGATAGTAAGACTATAAGACCAAAAGCCATAGGAGCAGAAATTAGGCCATTCGGCCCATCGAGTCTTCTCCAACATTCAATCATGGCTGATAAGTTCCTCAACCCCATTCTCCTGCTTTCTCCCTGTAACCCTTGATCCCCTTGATAATCAGGAACCTATCCATCTCAGTGTTAAATGTACTCAATGACCTGGCCTCCACAGCCTTCTGTGGCAGCGAATTCCATAGACGCACCACTCTCTGGCTGAAGAAGTTTCTCTTTATCTCCGTTCTAAAAGGTCTTCCCTTTACTCTAAGGCTGTGCCCTCGGGTCCTAGTCTCTCCTACCAATGGAAGCATCTTCCCAACATCCATTCTGTCCAGGACATTCAGTATTCTGTAAGTTTCAATTAGATCCCCCTCATCCTTCTAAACTCCAGTGAGTATAGTCCCAGAGTTAAACTTGGGCTTAGTCCAGGATTTGAACCTGGGCCCTCTCACACCCAAAACGAGAATCATACCCCTAGACCAACAAGTACTATACCTGAATAATGAGCATGTCCTGCCGAAGATCATCACCATGTTTGAAGATGATGCCAATGGGTTGGCACGGAGACCCATCAGGGCTCTCGCAGGAGAACTCCAGCCACAGCGGCTTCTTCTTGGAGGCCATGATCTTACAGCGATCGATCTATGGCAGGACAACAACAACACTGCATTTATATAGTGCCTTGGACAGCGAAAACCCCATTACGCACCACCATCAACCAACACGCCTCCCCCCCCCAACCCCAAGATAATTCACGGGAAGGACTATGTTACAAAACCTGACACCCAGCCACAGAATGAGACACCAGAAAAGGTGACTGAACGCTTGGTCAGAGAAGTTGGTTTTAAACGAGACAGAGAGAGGAGAAGGAGGGACAGCAAAGGAGAAAAGAAAGGAAAATATTGAGAGAGGAGAGAGAGTGAGAGGAGAGAGAGCGAGAGGCAGAGAGAAAATGAGAGGAAGGGAGAGAGGAGAGAGAAAAAGAGAAAGAGAGATGGAGAGTGAAAGAGAGAGACAGAAGGAGGCAGACAGGGAGATGTGTGGGGAGTGAATTCCAGTGTCTGGGGCCCAGAGAGCTGATGGCGTGGCCAACGAAACAGGGACAGATATTCAGGGAGGCTGGAATTTGGGGAACATGGAGATTTTAGAGGCTTCAGGAGTTGGGGGAGACACAGAGGAATTACATTTTGGTGGGGCTTCAACACATGGGGGGAGAAATCAACATCTCAGTGAGAATTGGAAAAGGATGTGGAGTGATTTCACAGTCCAGGACCAGAGTGGGCTCAGTCAGTGACCAGGCCAGAGGCAGGAACTAGACTGGGGCGGGGGGGGGGAGGGGGTTTGCGAGAACATTTGGCTGATAGAATGATGAGGGTAATTGCCGTGGGATCTGGCTGAGATAACCGGCTATGTGTCACTGTTATGCAATGAGAGTGTGCCCTCACCAGGATGGTGCCAGCCCTGATACGGGGGTCATATGGAGTCAGGAAGTCCTGGGGCAGGTCGGCATTCCTCAGCATCTCCTGAACCATGCTGGCCGCTGTGTGTGGAAAGGACACAAATATTTCACTCGCAGTCCCACACTGTTCCCGAGCCCAGCACTGTCACAGGGCCAGACCCCACTACAACACAAACAGGGCCACAACTCTACCTCAATCCCTACACCAACAGTCACAGCTTGGAGAAACCCTCCACATATACAGGGTCTTAATCCAGACCAAGGGAGCAGGAACTGTCGGAGGGTCAGTGCTGAGGGAGCACCGCACTGTCGGAGGGTCAGTGCTGAGGGAGCGCCGCACTGTCAGAGGGTCAGTGCTGAGGGAGTGCCGCACTGTCGGAGGGTCAGTGCTGAGGGAGTGCCACACTGTCAGAGGGTCAGTGCTGAGGGAGTGCTGTAGTGTAATTTGGTTAAATTGAAGGTCCCCCTTCTCCCTGAGGTGGGTGGCAATGACTCCTCGCTCACTGCTTTGACCAGTGTCACGCGTTAACATTCTACACTGTCCCTCTTGGGCCATCGTTTCGTCCACTCAGTTTCCTGTCCTGTTCCTGTACTCAGTGCTGTCCATCAGTGATTATACCACACTTAATATCACCATTTAATTTTATCCCTCGCTCCTTTGTTTTATTGCTCTCCTGTTGGACAAGTGCTTCACTAAGTTAGTTATGGCTCTCATTAACTCCAGTCTCCTGGATTGCCTTGATCTTTTGTAATTCACCTACTGGCACAACAGGTCCACAGCAGATACCATCTCCCTGGTCCTACACATCCCTGGAACATCTGGATAACAAGGATACCTATGTCAGACTCCTATTTATTGACTTTAACTCCACCTTCAACACCATAATTGCAAACAAACTCATCTCCAAACTCTGAGACCTAGGTCTCTGCTTCCTGCTCTGTAACTGGATCCTTGACTTCCTGGCCCATGGACCGCACTCAGTAAGGATACGGTAACAACACGTCCTCCCCAATAATCCTCAACACCAGAGCCCTGCAAGGCTGTGTGCT